ATCCCAGGACCCTGGGATCATGACCTGAGCCGAAGGCAGGTGCTTAATGACTGAGCCACCCAGGCGCCCCTCATCTCTTCAATTCTTAAGGCTGGAAGCAAGCTTCAGATCTAGTCAAGGGATGAGATGCTTGTCTCCCCTTCTTGCAGCCCTGGCATCTTTATGGTATTTCTTCTTGCAGTCTTGAAAGGGGAGTAGTGCCCTACTCCTCTTTAAGTCAATGATTCACTATCTCAATGACCTTCCTCCAGAATGTCTGGGTTTCTGTTCAAATAGGTGGAATGCAGTCATAGGAGCAATGGCTGAAGGACCAGCCAGTCAGTCCTGTGGGGAAGCAAGTAGGCACCTGCAAAAAACCCAACTGTATGCTTCTACTCAACGCAAGCAACAGATCATTTTAAACATTTGTAAACTTGTATAAACCAAGAAGAAGAAGAAATGATCCCCAACACAATTCATGTGCCTATTATAACTTTGATGTAAAACACTGGGGAAAATACAATGAAAAAAGAATATTACAGCATAAACTCACTTATGAATACAGGTTTAAAAATTATAAATAAAATATTAGCAAAATGAATGCAGAAATCTATTAAAAATATGCCATGGACAAAGTGAATCTATTCTGGAAATTCAAGGATGGCTTAATATTGGAAAATCTATTCATGTGACTCAACACATTAATAGACACACATGGCTATCTCAATAAATGCAAAAAAAGCATTTCATAAGATCCAGTATCTGTGATGGTAAAAGCTCTTCATCAATTTGGAATCAAAGGAAACCTACTTAGCTCTACCTAAAACCCCACAGCAAACACCTTAGATTGGAAACATTCTTTTTAGAGTCAGAACTAGGTAGATTCTCACTCTTACTGTGGCTATCCCACTCTGTACTGGAGGCCTTAGCAGGCACCATAAAGAAAATAAAAAAGCAGAGGCATAAGGATTGGAAAATTTTTTAAAGTTGCTGTTTATAAAAAAAAATGTGTTCTATATAGAAAACACAGGATCATTTACAGACTAATACCACATCTTTTTAAAAAGGTCAGCAAGATTGCCTAATACAATATCAGTATACAAAAGTCATTTGTCTCTTTATACAACAGCAAGAACCAATTATAAGAGTATTTTAAAAATCCCATTCTACAAGATACTTAGAAATAATCTAATAAAAGATGGTGTAAAACCTCTATGGAGAAAATTACAAAACCTTATTGAAGGACTCAGAAGAAGGTCTAAATAAATAGAGAAAGCTATTCCAAAGTTCAGCAAGGAAAAAATCAACGTCATGAAGATGTCAACTTTCCCCTAATTAACATATAAATTAAATGCAATTTCAATCAAAATTACACTAGGGATTTTTTAGGGAATTTGAATAGCAGATTCTAAACTTCTTACAGAAAAGTAAAGAGCTAGGAACAGCTGAGATCAATTTGAAAAATGGGAAAAGCTCCTACTAAATACCAAGATTTACCATAAATCTACAGATATTAAAACCATATGAAGGTGCATCCGTGAAGCAGTCTAGGGAGCCCAGAAATGGACCCGTGAGCGCACAAGGAGAGGGTATATGGTAAGGGTGGTGTTACAGATCAGAATAATAGCGTCTTAACGATGGTGCGGACAACTGGCTACCCATATGGGAAATGGCTGGTAACCTACCCCACACTGTAGTCAAAGGTTAATTCCCCATAGACAGATACGACACTGGAATAATGAAAAATTTCATAAATGTGACCAAAAAAATACAAAAATAAACTTAACTACATTACTATATTTTTGAATTCTACAAAGCGGAAGCACTTATAAAAATTAAAGCTAAGTCGAAGGCTGGAAGAAGATATTTGCAAGGCACATAACTGTTAAAGAATTTGCACCTAGAATATAAAAGAACTATAAATCAATAATAAAAAAAAACCTTATAACTTACTTAAAATAGGCAGAGGACCTGAAGAGAAGAAATATGAATAGCCAATAAAAATAGAAGCAGACATCTAAGATACGGATACTCACTAGTAATTCTAGGAATGCAAATTAAATAAAATATTAGGTGGTATTTAACAACCAACATGATTGGTCCATGTTCTAAAATATCATATTATCTAGTGGTGGCAAGGATTAGGAACTCTTCTATACTGTTGATATAGGAGTATAAATTAATGCTGTTCAAAAAATTGGGCAATGAATATAAAGTGGAAAAAACGTTCTTAATTAATGATGTGGCAATGTCTCTGCTGAACACTCTAGAGAAACTTTCATACCTGCATGAGGAGGCATGTGCAACATTGTCCGAAGAAAATGAAAGCAGGGAAACTATCTAAATGACCATCCAATGAGCGATGGCTGCGCCAGGGCTGATCTCCAGCTGGCAACCACCAGGAGGGCCCTGCAGGCTGTGAGAGCTGGTGCGCATCCTGATCTACCAGGGCCAATGAGTCACCAGCTGTCAGATATTTTGAACATCACCTCTGGGATAAATTGTGATTTAGTCATCCAAAGGAATGTTATTCCCCAGTTAGAATGAATGAACTAGCTCTACCTGTCTTTATATGTAAAAATCTCAAAAACATAACATTGAATGGAAAGCAAAGTTGTAGAAAGATATCGTTTGTGAGAAAAAAAATACACACAGCCACTCTTGTTCAAGGAGGCATAATTACATCATAAATATATTTCAAATATATATATATGGATGGGATCACATATACCAAATATGCACTTAACTCTTAGGATGGCGGACCCACTGAAGATGAAAGGAGAATGGGATAGACTCTCAGGGATATTTTATTTCTTATTTTTAAAAAGATCCAAAGCAAACATGCAAACTATTGATACTTATTAAATCTGGGTGGAACTATAGTGTCTATTGATTTTTAAAACATTTATGTATGTCTCAAATATTTTATAATTATTATTTTCTAAGATTAAGAGATGCTGTTTTCAAAATAGTTAAAGCTTTCACTATATGGAATCAAATCAACTTGAATAAGCAATTCACTTAAACAAGCTTGAAAATTTATGCTTGTATAAAAGACCAATTTAGAGGCTTATTAATCACATTAGAATGTATTCATTATATAATTCACAAAACAGAATTTTATGATGTAATCAAAATTATTTGACTTATAATAATGTGATTTACATTTAACTTTTCTAAAATATCTCCACTATTTTAAATCAAAGTACACATGTCAATTCATCTTTCCTATGCATCTTATAGAGATTTGTCTGAGGATAATCTTAGATGCAAATTAAATTTGCTAGCTTGGAAAGGCATTTTTTTCCTAAGGGAGGAAAGCCTCAGAGAACTGACCCAAACAATGAGACGTTCCTACTCTTTCCTCCAAAATTTACATCACAATTTATTCTTCAAATCAACCATCTGAAATATGATACCACGAACACTTTGGGAAGTGAAAATAGTTTGCTGCTTTTAGCCAAAGTTAAGTAGAAAGTAAGCTCTCGTAATTTGGTTGTGCGTAGAGTAGCCCTGATGTCTGCGTACCTCTGTCCCTCAAAGCCTGGGTGACTTCTCCCCTTGGCTTCATTTTCCTCCTCTTCTCGCAGGTTCCTCTGAGCCTCTTCCTTGTCTTTGGCTCGTTTGAGGCAGTAAGCTTTCTCTTGCTCTCTGATTTGTTGTTCAATTACTGGAAAGTTCTGCAATGCCTGGATCCTTTCTGATCGCTCTATTTCCTTACCGTCCAGCCACTTGAATACAAAACAACCAACATGGCGCAATTATTCGAAAGTCACAATTCAAATCAGCCCCAAGTTGACTTTGATTGGAATATTGTCAACTTAGAAACAATAAGTAATGCACCATAGTGATGCGGAATTAAAAGCAAAGTAATTAATGGGAAACATCAGGAACTTTGATCAAAATCATTTATTTAATACAATTAACAGGGTCACAAAGTATCTTTACTGGTAAAAAAAAAATAAGTAGGTCTTCTGTTGAAACTAATTAGTAATGACAAGCTCTCAAAATGTATTGATTTTGTAACTGTTCGCTATATGAAGGACGTCAAAGCCTCAAGTCAAACCACAGCTCCAAAGTGTAACAATGACACGTTGCAAATGCTCTTGACAAAAAAGGGCCTCGTGTTTCACCAGTTGGGCTCTAGTACAAATGGGCACATGTTCTACCTTCAGCAACAAGATGCACACACTACACTGTTAACTGCTACGGTCACTGTTTATATCTGGTGTTTTTATAGTGATTTTCCAAGCTGAAATATTAAAATAATTATCTGGATGGGCCCAGTGTAATCACAAGCGTCCTTATAAGGGAAAGTACCAGGATCAGTAAAATTATAAATCAAAATTATAATGTGGATATTTGGAAAGATAATTTACAGTACATTTTGGGTATAAGGACTCCTACGGGCTGCAGGTTTCCGGCACCTGGCTGGCAGCTGCCACAGCTTTCAGCCTGAGCGCACCGCAACAACGGGGGCTCCAGCACCCCTCCGGGGAAGTGGCTCATAGGGCTACGCTACAGGATCCACTCCTGCGATACGCTGGTTCTTACCAGTTCAATTTTTTAGTACGTCGTTGTATAATGATGATCAGCTTGGGTTATGCTTGAGCTAATTTATCATTTTATTATAAATATGTATTCCAGATTCAATTACCTGAGGCACTCATTCTCTTAATCAAAAAAAAAAATTACATTAGGCAAAATGCGTTCCATAAATCCAGCAATCTCGACTATGCAGAACACACCAGCCTAAAAACAAACATCCTCTGAGAATAAAAGGAAATGCCTATCACGAAGCCAATGCATCCCTGTATTTTTTTGCAGAAGCATGGGGCTGCACACAGGTCTGAAACTCTGGGAATTACATGAAAATTAACATTACTAATTGAACATAATCGGGTATATGATTTCTCCAGAAACCATCTGTTTTTCCCCAGGTTTCAAAAACATTAGGTGAGGGGAGATAGAGCATTACAGGTTAACACATAGAGCAAAGGCTCTTGAATGAGGTCCCTGGACCAGGAGCATCAGTGCTATCTGAGAGTTTATTAGAAATGGAAAATCCTGGGTGCCAACATCAGACCTATGAATCCGAAACTCTGGGATGTCGCCCAGCAAACACCACGCAAGAATTCCAAAGCATAGCAGAGTCTGAGAACCACTAACACAGAGAATGAGTTAAGAGAAAGCAATGAAAAAAATTTATAAAAGCACAGTAGTTTAAGACAACATAACACAAAGGTATCTAGCTGTCATCATCTCAAAAACTCTAAGCTTTTGGTTTGCTATTAGTAATGATGAATGCCCTCCATGACTATGATTTGTGTTCATCAAGAAATCGTTCAGCTAAGCTCCGTTGTGTTCTAAATGAGAAAGGAGAAAGGTATTTAATTTATTTTTCAAAAGTTTATTAAAGCTATTAAAACAACTTTAAAGTTTCAGTAAATCGAAGGATTAGTTCTGATTTTCTGGAATATTCCACACATTCCCTAACAATGCTGTGAATTAACAGGCATTATTGCAGTTGCTTGTTTTCATTTCTCTGAGATTTCTGCATCATTAAAATAAGCATACCTTTAATTGTTGAAGAGTTGCCACCACGAACTGCCTGTAACCATCAAAGTCAGCACACGGGTTACCCATCAGAAAGAGCTCCTTCAGGTGGATATTGTGCTGAAGGGTTTTAATGCTGCTCAGCTCTCCAATGAAATTTACGGTCAGGTCGAGTTTTGTCAGCCCTTCACATCCTGTTGAAAGAAGTAAAAAGAAAATAAAGCAAAAAAAAAAAAATCACACTGGTAATGAAACGTGTGCAACAGCTCATAGCAGGAACAACTGCAATATTTTTAAGTATGCTGATTAATTGCATGGCTTACCAATAAGTGGATTTTCAGAAATACCACCTCAAAGGTTTAGCCCTGACTCGCTTCTCTATGTGCATTTCCCCTTCGCCCCTCCAGCCAGGGAAAATCACTTTTGCTGTCCATATCTGCAAGCCCTGGGCTGGGTAACATATGGATTTGGTCACTATATGCTGCTAGGGTGGACACGACAGCAAAACAAAGCTCCTCTAGAGAGGACACCTGCAATCTGTTCTGAGAATTTTGTCAGGTAGGTAGGACACATCTCGCCATGAAGGGTGATGGTTGGGAGGGGTCCCCAAAAGGAAAGGCAGTTCGTAAAACCCAGGCATCAGAATTAATATTTACAAAGTCACACCGAAGAGACAGAATGACTCCAGGACTGCTAAGAACTGCACTGGAGGTATCAGCAAATGTTAAGAGTAAGAGTTTGGTCCTCAGAGGAGTAATAGAAAAAGGATGAGTCATGGATGCAAAGATGGTAGTAAATCTGCCCCATCCACCTTCATTATAGAGATGGCTGGATGCTACAGAAATTTCAGTCGACTCCCTTCACTCACGTCCCATGGGAGCTTGCTGGTTAGGAATGCAGACTTTAGAATTAGGCAGATAGGAGTTCAAGTTCTGTCTTGGTCACATCCTTGCTGTGTGATGTTGGATAAGTTATGAGCCTCCGCCTTTGCTTCTGTGGTATTAAAACAGCATTGGGGGCGCCTGGGTGGCTCAGTTGGTTAAACGACTGCCTTCGGCTCAGGTCATGATCCTGGAGTCCCGGGATCGAGTCCCGCATCGGGCTCCCTGCTCGGCAGGGAGTCTGCTTCTCCCTCTCCCACTCCCCGTTTGTGTTCCCTCTCTCGCTGTGTCTTTCTCTGTCAAATAAATAAATAAAATCTTAAAAAAAAAAAACAGCATTGGTACCCAATCAGGGGTTGCTGTGAGGACAATATAAGATGATTCATGTCAGGTACTTAGCACAGTACCTGCCACCTAGAGAGCTTCAGTAAACACTAGCTAGGATGAGAAATAACCCAATAACCACTCTTAGGATTATGTTGAATAATGTGCTTATGGGGGAAGAAGGATGCTTGCTCTCCCGTGAGCAGAGAGTTTGCAGTTCCTTGCTGTGGACTTAGGAAGAGTTGACCTGGTTCATATAGCAGCCTCTGTGGGCTGGGCTCAGCAGAAGGCTGTCTCCCCTGTGGCTGGCTCATGCTTGTTGGATCAACCTGGCAGATTTTGTGGCCATTAATACCGAGAGAGCCATTTCCAGCTGAAAACCCAGCCCCACCTTGTTGTGCCCTCATTTCTTCAAACATCTACCTGCTCCAGCCCTCCCCTATGCTTCCTGATTATATCTCGCTTTTCTGTTGTCTTGTGGCTATATAACGTAGGGCAAGCTTTGGTTCCTGATACAGTAACTTCACCAGTACGATTTGATTCAGTTGGATTCATAGCTCTGCAACCGCGTCACCTTTAGCAAGGTTCTTCTCATTGCTGAAGGCTTAATGTTGGAAACAGCTTCATTAAATGCTAGTATTCTCTCATCCTTACCCTTTTTTTTTTAAAAGATTTTATTTATTTATTTGAGAGAGAGAGAATGAGAGAGAGCAAGCACATGAGAGGGGAGAGGGTCAGAGGGAGAAGCAGACTCCCTGCCGAGCAGGGAGCCCGATGCGGGACTCGATCCAGGGACTCCAGGATCATGACCTGAGCCGAAGGCAGTCACTTAACCAACTGAGCCACCCAGGCGCCCTCATCCTTACCCTTTCTTGATGTTAGCATCTGACTCCATCATGTCCAGAATTCCAAGGTTTCCTCCAATCTAATCATATCCCAAACTAGAATCTTCCAAATAAGATAGTTCTACCTTAGTGCTTCCAGATGTAGGGCCTCACCCTAGAGTCATCCCTCCATGCGTTCATTCATTCATTCATTCATCCAGGAGTTAACGGGTACCTGCTATGACCAAGTTACTGAGCCAGGTCTTCAAGATAAAGTGGTTAAAAAAATCCATGGCATTTCACCTCAAGCTTATGTCTAATATGGAGAAAGGAGAAAAAAGATATGCATTCTAGGAAAAAAAAAATTCCTGGTGCAAAGAAGTGAATCTGAAGAAGCAGGCAGAACCAGAAGTAGGCAATGCCTATTGTTATAAGCCAGCCTAAATTGATATGTACTGGTTCTTTCTCCATCCCCATTCATTGTTCAGCCCATTGGTTTTGGCTTCCATCCTCAATATTCTACTAGATTTGCTCCCCTAAAGGTGATGAAAGAGACCTTCATGTTGACAAATCTAACAGACCTTCTCAACCCATTATGTCACTAGAACAGTCCACGCATATGGCATGATTGACCATAAATTCTTTTTAAAAAACTTTTCTAGGGTGCCTGGGTGGCTCAGTTGGTTAAGTGGCTGCCTTCAGCTCAGGTCATGATCCCAGGGTCCTGGGATCGAGTCCCGCATCATGCTCCTTGCTCAGCGGGGAGCCTGCTTCTCTCTCTGCCTGCCACTCTCCCTGCTTGTGCTCTCTCTCTCTCTCTCTCTGTGTCAAATAAATAAAATCTTAAAAAAAAAAAAACTTAAAAAAAAATAAAAAACTTTTCTAAAACTTTTAGTTTTCTTTTTATCTTTATTTATTTTTAAGTTCTTGTTTTAATTCCAGTTAGTTAACAGTGTTATATTAGTTTCAAGTATATAATATAGAGATTCAACAATTCCATGTATCACCTGTTGCTCATCATGTCAAGTGCACTTCTTAACTGACCATGAATTCTCTCTGAAATGTCTCAGTTGTCTTGGAAACAATGATACTACTCTCTCCTTCTCCTCTTTTATAATGCAGCTTATTACTCTTGGTCCTTTTTACAGACTTTTCCACTCCATCAATGGTAATATATCCCAGATTTCCATCCTTGACCCAGTATTCTCTCTCCTGTTTCTCTTGATGACAACAGTCATGTTCCCAAATTCTGATGAGTCCCAAACAATAACTTCATAGCTGACGATCCAACTGAATGTCATACTCCTACTTCCAAATGTCTGTAAGACATCCCATTCAATATGTCTAAAAATGAACTCTTCATATTTTCTCTCACTCTCCACTCCTCAAGACAGCTTTCCTGCTGCCTCCTGATGTCTAAATCCTATTAATGTCATCACCATTTTGGTATCAGATGCCAAGAGTCAAGTCACAGCTAACTTGAGTGTTAACCTAAAATGCTCTCTTAGCCCCTTCACTTCATCAATCACCAAGCCCCGCAGAACTCAACCCCTACATTCTTCCCACCTACTTCTTGTCCACTGTAATCCTATAACCAACAGGCCAGCTCAGGTTCCTATCCTCTTGTGCATGAAATATGGCATATCTCCTAAGTCATCTCCCTATATTTTGAGAAAAGGAAGGAAGGAAGGAAGGAAGGACAAAAGGAAGAAAAGGGTGACATTTGAAAGACTCCAACATGTTCAAAAATTTATATAATTTTTATTTTGCTGTAATTTTGTAGATAAAGGACCCTCCAAATGTTCATTATATTTTTCAAAATGATAAATCTTAAGTTTTCTTCTACCTGGCCTACCCATAAGAAAGTACACCACGTCTGCCATCCCAATGAACAATTCTTGCTGAACTAGCCAAGCTTGAGAAAGCTGCTCTCTCTGGAGTTAGGCACTCCTACCTTCAACTGAGTCCCACTATCCATCTGTTCTTTGAAGATCCACCTCAATGGTCATGGGGGTGAGAAGGTCATTAAAACTGACAACATTGATTTCCCAAGGGGGGAACCTCACACTATTAGAAACCCCACCTCTCCTTCCAGGTTAGAGTGGGTAAGAAAGAAGGCTGGAAAAAGAAGGCAATTTATTATATCCCAGTGAATCCAAAACAGAGGGGGAAAAAAGTATGCTAGTTAGCTTTTGCCATCTAGCAAAACATAAAAATAAACAAGCAAAAGTCCATCTTATGTTTAAAATTATATTGAGATTAACTCAAGTAGGTGGGCTGAGTGTATATCCATCTTCCTCCTCTCACCTCAAACCTTTAAAATTAAACAGAGTACATTATTTACCAGCTGATACGATGCATCCTCCCTCCCTACTGCCCATCCCCCCAAACATATCCTCAAACTACTCTGCACCCAGCGCCTTCCTTAGAGGTGGAAGGTGGCGCTCTCAAGAAGCGCCCAGGTAGAGGCCAGCAGAGGGCTGTGGACTACAGTTCCCAAAGCTCAAAAAGACAATAGTGACGATGCTGCCCTCTCGTGGCAGATGAGCAAAACATACAGGAAAACAACTCTCCGTGTCCTTCCAAGATCCTTTCTTAACAAAAACAAGCCCTTTACATGGCAACTGAGAGTGAGAGTTTTAATTATTTCTCTGACATTACAGATTGACATTTTACTATCACAAAACATGCATGCAGAGTAACTTTTGTTATTCCACTTGTTAACATGAGACTGCGTGACGGGGCTGTAGAGTGTGCCAGCTGGAGAAGGACGGCTCCATCTCTAATGCAGAAAAATGCCCATGATGGAAAGAATCTTCCCGGTTCCAGCGCTGAGGATGGCTTTGGCCCTTTGATTGTGATGGTATTTTAGGTTTTGAGGATGAAAATTCAGAACGTATGATGAATACTTATGTCTTTGTTGCTCTATAACCTTGAGAGTCACCAAAATACCCATTTCTACACTAGGAGGCAAACAGGCTAAAATCCATCATACCCTAAGTAAAGTCCTCCTAATTTTAGCTCTTGGCAGATGGGAGCAGGGTGGGGAGAGCAGCTCGCCCGCCTCTGCTCCATGCCCCTGTACTCCGGAGTCAAGCCTGCCAGTCGCCATGCCCTGCTCACTCACACAGAGCCCCCAGTAGCCCTGCCAGCCAAGTGAG